TTATGTGAATATATCACAAAATAAAGTAAATAGGAAAAATATAACCATGTAAGTGTGATCCCTGGATACCAGGACTAACACGCCATCGCAGTAAGCGATATGAATAACCTAATGAACATCCGAAGATTGTCCAATTGTCCTCTGTAGCAGCAGCAGGTTGGAGGAAGGGTTAGTCCTGTAGCCGACTCCTAATATAAGTGGTAACCTAATGATCATCCGAAGATTTTCATCTCATCCTCTGTTGCAACAATAGGATGGAGGAATGGTTAGTTTCGATATCAATCTATCTATTATAAGTGATAACCTTAGACATCCGTGGATGTTCATCACCCAGTGGTGCTAACAGCTGGGTTCCGGAATGGTTAGTCCCATCTAGACAACCCGTCGAACAGGGATAGGCAAGAAAATTTACACAGAAGGTACGAATAAATCTTCCTCATAACTCTAGGTACAAGTATCCAGGTAAGTGAATACAGGATAATGTATCTATGTAACAGTACTCATGTATCATGTAAGCATATGTAAACGTACTCATGTATCATGTAATCATATGTAATTGTACTCATGTATCATGTAATCATATGTAAATGTACTCATGTATCAGGTAATGTACTTGTGTTGACTCATGAATGAATTGACGCTGGTGTGATTCTTTGTAATAGGAATAATGTTTGATATCTTCAAATTATCCCTATGATAATTTACTGAAAGGTAATTGATTATTCAAGTAGGTTTATACACTTTTACTACTCAAGGGTGTGGGAAACTAAATGAAAGATGACAACTATAACATCAATACATATATAAGAATATAAATGTATATGCATATTTTAGTTCAAGAATGTAAAATGGTTTTGTAAGACATCTACGGATTTTGAACAAATATAAAAAGTGACTTGATGTCATTTTGATAAACATTTCAAAAGTAATACATTTGATAACAAAGTATTTTAAAGATAGAAACCCATTTCATGCATCACAGTTTGTAGTATGTGAAATCCGTTGAATGAAAACACAGTTATAAAATACATATAAATGATTTAATAACATGTTGTTTTCTACTTGTATTCCCCCCCCCCATTAAAGCATTTAAAATCATTTAAAACATTGATTAGGGGTATTAACTCACCTGTAGATGGTGATTTGGATGAACTGGACGGTGTAGGATTGTTAGGTGTCAAGTAAGGACTTGTACACACACTACGATCCTAATGAACATATAATCACACATATATTCACTCAATTAGTCTTAAATTACTAATTGATAATGTTAAGACATCCTAGAACATAATAAACACTTTATATAAGTGTTTTAAGCCCTGAGGATTGCATCTAAGCTATTGTGGGACAAGGCACTTGTGTTTTGGGTTCCAAAGGACCCTATACTTGAGTTTACTCTCCATATACCATCACACATGGAGTTTACGGTTGTAAACTCTTGAGTTTACGGCCGTAAACTCCCAACCTTGGTGGTATTTTGTGTTTTGAAGTTCTAAATGATCCCTAGAATTATTCCAACTTGGTGGTTCAATTCTTGGAAGGGTTTAAGGCATAGAAACACCCCTTTGAGGAGTTTACGGCCCTAAGGCCATTTCCCTTAGAGTTTGCGGCCATAAACTCTTAAGGATGGGTGTTTTTGATGCTTTCAAGTCTCTTGCACAAGTGGTATAGGTTCTAGACTTTTATTCCAAGCATATGAAGGCCTTTGACACACTTTGGTGCCCTTTAATCATGTTTACGACCCAAGAACCATGTCATGGCCGTAAACTCACATTGAAAGGTGTTTTTGATGTGTTTAAGGCCCTTGATTAAATGGGAATAAGTCTATGTAAATGTCTAGAGCTTTAGGTGTCTTAAAAGCACCCTTTGGTCCAATTTATTAAAGTTCACGGTCCAAGATCATCTTGGGCCGTGAACTCCCATATGTTTGAGTTTCTTGGTTGTTTTCTTGTCCCTAATACACATATATATGAGTCTAAGGTAGTAGCATAGCACAAGGGACGATCTAGGCTTTGTTTCGGGAGTTTACCGCCCAAGAACACCTTGGGGAGTAAACTCCTAAATCTAGTGATTTAGCCTTCTAAATCATGTTATAAACACATATAAAGCTTTCTAACACTAATTGAAAGAGTTACTCACGTTTTGGTATAAAAACCCGAAGATCCGTGAGAGAGAAAATGGCTTTTCTCTAGTTAGAAATGCGAATAATGAATGAATTTGGTTCAGAATTCTATTTATAGTCCTGAGATTTTTGTCAGAAAATATTTTATTCCCGAAATGATCTCTAATATAATAGAGTGTTGGAATAACAGTGTTGCACAAAACTCTAGTGCATCCACTCTCCTGATATTTCCTGAAGTGTAAACCCTAAATTACTCAAACTTATACAGAAAAGTCTGAAAGTTTACTGTGACTGATATAACTTCTATTGAAGTGTTATTGTTTATACAGAATGGAAATTTTGGGTTGTCACAGAAGCTCCCTCCGCCACTCCCTGCTGCCTTGGTAAAAACCCACCACCACCGTATTTATTTTTTCGAGTACTGTATCCCCAAACACCCTCCAAACATCCCCGGTCCTTACTCCTTCCTCCCATCGTCTCTTACACGTCAACCTTGATGGAAGAAATAAACAGAAGAAGCGAGAGTTGTCGGAGAAAGCACAATCGGCTGCCACCGTTGTTCTCAGCCCACTCCGCCCTCCCCCTGTCGTGACCCAATGCTTCGACCGCCTTCCTTCTTTCCACTGAGGTAAATCACAGTATCCGCCATCTCCTTCTTTTGTGTTGGCTCTTAGGTATTTCACAAGCTCCACAATTTAACAGTTGTTGGAATCAATACCAAGATTTTCCAATAAACAACATTATATACAAAAACAACTTCAAACCAACAAACTAAAGTCCATCCAATGTACCTGGGACGAAATCGAGGATGAGATGGCCAAATCGAAGAACAAATACACAGACGTAGGTACATACAAAAACATTTAGAAAAACACAACCAATATTTCTTAGAAGCCAAACACCCACCATGAAATTAAAACCCATAAATTAATAGAGGTTGGAATGAGTCTGATCAATCTTGATTTTCTTTTTGTTGAAACAAGGTATGTTAAAAGAAAAGTGGAAGAAGAAAGAAGATGGGCGTTAGGGGAATTGGGTGTGTTTGGAGAGAGAGAGAGAGAGAGAGAGAGAGAGAGAGAGAGAGAGAGAGAGAGAGAGAGATGGGTCCTCTTAATTTTTAACTATTAAAATGAATAAATAATTATTAAACATTTAAAACTGATTTTAAAAATAGAAAATAAATACCTCAAGGGTATTAAAGTCATTTCAGTTTACTGAGAGACTAAAAACGCAATAAAACTAGCTCAAACTGACTATCAATCCAAAAAAGACGTGGTTTGAACTAAAACCCCAAAAAAATACATAGAACTATTTTTGCAATTTTGTCAATTTAAAAATGACATAATTGTGCGTACGTTAGTTCGCACATATTACTTTTCGTTCCAATTTTTTTTCTTGAATTAAAAACATTATATTTAATATTAATAATGTCTTCTATGAATTTCAGTTCTCGATTGGTAGAAAAACAGACAACAAAATCTATACCTTACGTCTCTTTGCCGATGAAATATAACAAGGACCAAGATGAAGTACACCAAGGACCAAATAATGAGTTTTTTTATTTATGTTTTTTCTTTTGATCATAAGCAACACATAACAATTAAACAATTCTATTTTTCTCTATATTGTGGAACTTATATTCTCAAACCACAAATCGCATTAAAACTACCCGCAACACACCAAACCATATAACATGATTTGTAGAACAAATCCAACCCATTATCTCCCCCCCCCCCCCCCCCCCACACACACACACACACACACACACAAATTTCCTGTCATTCAAAAGTGTACATCATTATGATAACACGATGATTATTCCTCTAAAAAGTTAACAAGTATTTGCATTACTATGTACAACGAAGGAACCTTACAATCTCAAAAAAAGAGCAACAATCTTAATAAAAGTTGACGTTAACATAGGCTAAAACAGACTATTTTGGCTTCTGTTTTTGTGTATTCTAATCATATTTCCTTAATTTCAGATAACTTCTGCATTTAGGCACATTAACCCCTGTCATATTCCTGTCTTCACATTACTCTTTACCACCTGTATGTAGTTATGTACACTCACCTTGAAACTAATTCCAGCTGCACATGTGAACAAGAAAAACCAAAGCACCATTAAAAGATTGAAGATAACTTCCTTAAGATTCTTTTAGATATCTAAAATACCCTTCAATAAAGACAAAAATGAGAAATTCCATGTACCCATATGAATATAAACAATTTATACAACAAAATGGTTTTGTTTTGTATTACTATTAACATGTGAATTTCCCAAAAAGAGAAATGATGCAGTTTTTACATGGGAAAGGAAAAGAAATCCCAAGATCTCTAGCTTACCATGGAAACATCAATGGTTTTAACTAACTGATTGTTCTTTTTTCTATATAAGTGTTTGTTTTCAATAAATCAAGTTTGAGAAATACTAAAGAAAATGATAACACACTTGGAGAAAAATGAAGAAAAGGAAATGAGAGCAAATTTTTAAAAACTCTAGACTTATTGGGAAAGCATGTTTTCTTGTCTTTCTCTGTTAAGAAAGGAGCACCACTAATCCATTATACAGCCTACTAGATTAAGCCCATTAGCTTAAAAAGAAATATAACTTAAAATACTTATTACTATTAATACCTACAGTCGCTAGATTTTCAAATTGTAGACACTAAAGAGAAAAGTAATCAAACACATCATGTGCAGCATGATGATTGATGAACTTCCATTGATGCCCATCATTTAGGTCATAATGAAAGCGACTTTACCAAACCAAAACCCACATTAATTCAAATTCAAATCAACTAAGAAAGCATAATTAACTTAACAAAACCAGAAATGCAATCTACGCGAGAGAGAATTTACCAGATATCAAAAGATTTCAGTCCCGGAAAATGACATCATCAGCCATATCCATCAATGGATTCAAGCAATCTGGCGTAAATTTCCGCGCAAACATGTAAGGTTGCACAAAATTTGACCTCCGGAGTTTGTAAATAAGCTCAGGCGACAATTCAGATGGATGATAAGTATACGGGTGTCCATTAACACTATCAGTCCAATTGACATTAGTCAGTGTATAGCCACTACACCCTTCTGGATCCTCCATTGATAAAAATGTGGGAAAGTAATGTTCTTCAGGGTAACAAGCTACAGATCTTAAACATGGCCGCATGAATTTCTTCCATAAACGTCGTTCTTGAATCACCATCAGAGCGTGCCGCCGTGTAAGTGTAAAAAACTGTGAACCCACTCGGAATTCATCAAATGGTACTTCAGGGAGCATCATCTTTTTGCCTCTGGCGTTATACCTGTCCCAAAGATTAGGATCTTTGGAAATTATTTCGATAAAGCTTTTGTATTTGAGGTGTCTGAATTCGGCTACTTGATGTGAACTAGCTTCGAAAAGGGTATTGTAAAAGAACTGAAATGAATGAAGAGGTATGCAATGTTGAGAGATTAATGTGAAGAATGCGTTAGAAGGGTCGTCAAGAAGTGCGTTGGCGAGCAGGCGGCGCTCGGCGGAGATGAGCGTTGCTGTAGCACGATGGGTTTGTTTAGCAGGAATGAGTCGATCTTGAGAGAAAACACCACCTGGGGATTTGAATTTGGTTTTAACAGTCGGGTCAGCATGAATATATATGGTGTAAAGATTCCGATTTGATTTACTGCCATTAAAGAACTTTTCCCATAAAGGGGCAAATTGGATGTCGGAGTTGGTGAGAAAGAGGAAAGCGATTTTGGGTTTGGAGTTGGTAGAACCGAGTCGGGATTTGGGTTTATGGTTAGGGTGGGATTCGAGGGCGGCGGCTCGACGGAATAGGGTGAGATCGTCGAGTTCGTCGGGGAGGGAAATGGGTGGCGGTGGCGAAGGGAGGATGTGCGACGCGAAGAAGAAAAAGATTGGAAGAGAGAGTAACAGAAGGAGCAATGTAGGAATCCATGGAGATGGTAATGCCGATGAAATCATGATTATTTGATTGAATCGAAGATGCAACTAGACATGTTTGAAGGATTGATTTAGGGTTTGTCGATGATCTCGGGTGTGGGGTTTCATCGAAATTTTGAGGGGTTTTGAAAGAAGTATCAAGTGTGGGTGTATGGCATTATGGATTGAAACCGGTGATGGTGACTGGAGAATGATGCGGAAAGCGAAATGCTTTGGAGTTCAAACAAACCCTTGCGAATATATTAACTGGTCAAAAGGATTGAATAGGGTTTGAATTTTTATTTATTATTATTATTATTATTATTTTTTTTTTTTGCCAAATCATCATGTTTTAGGTAATTAGGTTGACAACCCGGTAAATTGCTAATGTAGACTAACCTAGAAAAGGAAAATATGTTGTTTGTTTCTCAATAAAATAAGAAATAAGATCAATGATGATTGGAAACGCTAGAATTGTGCAAAAGAAATGAATGATTTTTGAAAAGCTATAATAAATATAAAATAACATAAAATATATGTATAAAGATTATTTAATATTGTTAAACAAATATGTAATATATTCTGTGTATCTCTCTTATCATATTCGTAATAATATTATGAATTTCTTATATCTTGTGGAGGGATTCTCGAATGTTATCGTATTACTAGATTTTGAATGCTCGTCTAATTATTGTGTAGGTATGTAATCAATATGTTTTTAAAAAAAAACATATATGACGATATTATAAAGGGAAAAGGATGTTGCTATGAAATCTATTTTTGAGTCTTCTTAAGCATGTCAGTTTTGAAAATAAATTAAAAGGTTAAAGAAATCTACTCAAAGTTGGCATGGGGTTATTGAGACTTACGATGAAGGGGTCCAACTTTAAAAAAAAAAAAAATTAATAAATAAATATTATTAAAAAATAACCTTTAATTCACGAATAAAGCAATCAGAGTTATTGATTGTGTTTTAATCTTATGTTTTCTACTCTTAGATCAAATTACTGACATCATTTTCCACAAATAAATTCAAATACAATTATATTTAATTATAAAATCTATAATAATTATAGAATCTTTAAATTCAGTAATTATTTTATCAATTGAAACATATCATTCTATTTATACACATGATATCAGTTTCTCTAATTAATATTGTTCATAATTTAACTACCTTATTTATAGTTTTTGATTTCCAAATTCAAACCCGTTTACATTTTATTATTTATTTCAAAAAAAAACTTATTAAACAAGCATATCAATAATTAAGTTATTAACCTATAAAATCTAATTTAATCCCACTAAATCAACAAAATATACAAGAGTTAAAATTAAAGTCAATATTATTCATAATTTATCTCCCAGTATATCTCACATAAAATGAATCAATTCGAGATAATTGTTTGAAATTTAAAACTGATTAAATAAGAAAATCAATTAATTTGAAGTTTTGAATTAATATAGTTGATATCTTTCTTTTTTTTCCAGATGAATAGTCGAAAATCTCCAAGATGATATCTTAGGATCCCAACATTTTTAAAAGATAATGATTTTCTTATTAAAAAACACTATATATATATATATATATATACGATTACACTGAAGTGGTTATTCTTACGATTTTGGATTGAGTCATATGATTCATAGTGTTCTTCTTGAGCAATCTTCTTCTCAAATTCTTTTTTCTAAGCTCTTACTTTACTCTGTTCTTCTTATTCTTCTTCAATCTTTTGCATTTACTACGTTCTTATTATTTGTTATTACTATGTTCTTATTGAGATGTCATGAAAAAAAATAATCAATCTACTTTAAGCATATTAGTTTTATTCATTTAGTTACAGAAACAAAATTATACCCTTTATATCGATTTTTTAATGTGTTGACCTATGTTTCTCAAGAAAAAGCCATAAAAGTCGTTTTAATGTATGATGACAAAGCTAGTGGCACGGACCAAAAGCAGGATAAATAAGTTTTTATTGTTACACTTCAACTTGCATGAACAAAGACGTATCTGTTATTCCAAGGTTTTCAATAACTCTTTTATACATATTATTATAATATTCGATTAAAATTTTTCTAATTTTGTATTATTGAATTTGTTTATATCAATAGTTTTAGTTTCAAAATCACCATTATAGTATAAGACGTTACCGACGTGGTGCCACTTACGTTATTTGATCGTGACGCAAAGAAATTTTTGAAAGAACACACAATAGTTGCTTCAAAATTTTAATGAGATTATCGATATTAACTTCATTTACATAAAACTAATTTTTACTTTTTGTTTGTCTATTTTTATAACCATTAATTTTTTCATTTTTAGGAGGGTAATATGAAGATTTATCCGTCTACTTTAAAATTACTTTTGGATAAAAAGTTGGTGTTTAAAATTTAAATTTGTCATTATAATTTGAAGAAAAATGTTGATGGTTATTAATTTCAAACTTCAATGTTGATAATAAAATCACTGTTGAATTGGAAAAAAAAAATTAACATCGAACAAGTAACATTCTCTTACGAAACATACTACAAACATTACACTTATTAGATTCGTTTTTTTTATATGTTAGTTGATCAACTAACATATTTTTATGTACTACAAATATAGACGCCGTAATCTGATTCGTTTAACGCTTTATCGACGAAATTTGGATGTCAAGACACATTAAATTTAAAGGTTTTAAATACAATATAACTAAATCTAATATTTTAAATACTTTAAAATACTATTAACTTTTAGATTGACATATGAATTTATTTTTTATATTTAGGATGCAGTTTCGTTTACTGGTGAAAATGTCACACCCGCTTCGAATCTTGATAAAAGTATTGCCACAAGTCCGCTAACGAAGTGAACATCCTTTAAAAAGTGTTAAAACATGAAGAATTAAAACACAATTTGGAAGATGTTTACGATGTTGATAATCTGGAAACAATGTCCTCAACCAGACGATCATTAACATCAATGGCAGATCGTACTTCTGGAGAAGGCAAGCCAAAACTAGTATTCCAAAGAAAGAAAAATAATATATGATTTTCATGATTTTATATGAGTAGTTGGGTGATTTGAGTACGGTTAATTTCATATTATATTTACATACTATTTGATTTTTGGGTTTGGTTTTTATTACTTTGTTTCATACCATTCGTTTTTTGGATTAAAATTTTGATCATTTAAATACATTTTGGGTACTATGAAATATTGAATTATTCATCTATTTGTCTTTTGGGTTTAAACTCATATGAATTTAGAATTTTACTCATTTTTTACTCTTTTATTCCATTTGAATGTGAATTTGTCAGCATTTTTACAATGTTATTCATTACAACTTCAATATAAATATTAGCAAACTACAACTTTTTATGAAATTATAAACTTTTATAAATATTTTAACCATTCTAAAACAATTATTTATAATTATTTATACTTCCTTATGAATTTTATTGATAAATTTATTAGTAAACATTTACCATTGAATTTGGGCAATCGTTAGATTTATTTATTTTCTATTGTTAAATCAAGTATAAATGAATTTGAACAATCGTTAAATTTCATATTCAATAATGTAATTTATGCACTAATTAATCAAATAATAGTACATATTCAAGTGTTTTTTTAAATGACAATAAACAAACATATAAATTATATGCAGTTTCACAATATTATAACTTTTTTACTGGATTTAAATGAATAATTATTCCTTTCACTTGATTTAGATTCTTGATTACTCATATAAGGTTTTAATAAAATAAAATTCTGATAAATTGAAAAAATTGTTCAGATAAACCTTAAAATTTTGAAATTTGTTGGAAATTTTGTTAGGCTTCTTTTTGTGGTGTCATGTTTGCTGATTTGACTATGTAGGGTTCATTTGAAGTTTCATTTCACTATAAGAATGTTAATGTTCACATCTAAGTGGAAACAATCACAACGGGTAAGCATTCTAAATGATTTTTTCACTTCCATTAATCAAAACTGTTATTTTAAGTGGTGCGTTCTCATGGATGCCACATCGGTTGTCACTATATAGACCTTCTAACGGTCTATAGAAGAATCCTAGCGGCTTTATGAAGAATTTTGTTGCGTTCTCAATGAAGTATCACTCTGTCAACATTCTTCTCTATAATTATTTCTCTTATTTTCTATATAGATGTGTGTCACAACAATACGACAGAAAAAGGTGTTAGTGACCATTAAAGAAAAAAAGGTAATATATAATTTAAGAATAATATATAAAGTGTAGATTGTAGATTTATGATATTTATTTCAATGAAAAATTAGGTTACATATCTGTCTTTTTTTTTTATTATTATTATTTGATTGTGACAAGGTTGATCTAAATTTGATAATTGAAGCAGATAGGAAATATATGTGCTAACGATTTTAAATTTGCATTGCCCTATAGAAATCAACCATAGCCTCGCAGATCGTTCCCTCATATCTTAGTAGGTCTTAATATTTTTCAAAATTCAGCTACAAGAAGTCATGGATGCATTTCTTGATTCAATCCTCTAAACCGAATTTCATTTGTTAGTTGGATGTATTGCCCAAAATGCAAGATTTGTGAAAGTTCATTATTATTTATTAGTGTTAACATTTAGCAAATTATGAAAATAATATTATATTTTTGTTCATAACATGTTTTTTTGTAATAATTTATTTGATCGGAAGATATGTATATGTGATTGGATGTAGCCTGAAAAATTATATTTTAATTTTTATAAGGCAAAAATACTTTAAAATCGAGCAAATTACAATGTCTGAATTTGATGTTTATGGTTATTGATAATTCACTTTATTTGTAATGTTTATCGAATTTCTTCGCAGAATTTAATGTTGTTGGTACATGTAACAGCTTATTGTTGCTTTTGGTTTTACATAGCTAATATGAAAAGAGCCACATGAGCCTCCATGGGGATTGGTACACCGAACAAAGTCAATTCATAAAACTACTACACAACATGTTTTAATCAAAAAGTCGCATTATGTTGTAATAAAACAAAGATCACATAGGTCATTTATGTTAAAAATTACCATA